ATTAAAGAACAGATTTTCCCAAAAGTAAAAGAACTATTCTGAAGAATGGCTAATATTATAGAGGTGGGGTAATAATTTTCAAATTTACATAAATTAATAAAAGTATCTAATATTTCCATTTATTCTTCATTTAAGATAAGTAATCACTATATCCAACTAGTAAAAAAAAAAAAAATTCAAAAAAAAATTTTTAATAGTAGATACCTATCATCTAGATCACATTCCGTCCCAATCTTTTGAACAGGTGTAAAGGTTTATCTTTTTTTTTCCTGTTTGAGATTGGTTTTCCAGTTCCTTCTTGCATTGTAGTGGCATTATCACTTTGCTTGGGGTGAACTGATGGAAAAAAAAAAAAAACTTTTAAAGATTCTGCAAATTAAGAAACTATGTGGATATCAATGATGTACGTAGAGTTCATACATGACATTTGTAAACAATTTGCTCATTTTCCATAACTTTTTAAAGTCAAGGATCGATTTGAGACTGTATTGCTATTATGAACAGGACCCCTCTTCTAAATCAATAACTAATCAATATTTTTTTTAATTTTGACAAGTATCATGGCCAAAGGACGCTCTAAAGAAAGCTAATCCACAAAAATTATTTCCAAAAACATTTTCCCTGTTTTTACGAGCGAACCAGTCTACTTTACTAGTTCCAGTACTTCCTTAATTCAAGTGATGAACTCAAACACACTATTAACAAGCATTTTGCATATTTCACTGTCTCCCTTAATTTTAATTAGTCCTCCACTCCTCAAACACATGATGAGTAGGAAGAATTCAATTTACTAGTTTTTCAATTGCTTTCACATATTGTAAGTACAATTCAGTACTAGTTGTCCCTCCTACTAGCAACCACAGTTTTGAACTAACTAGAATTGGTTGATTCTTGTGTTGTAGTTGACTGTGTTGCTTATCATCCACCAACAATCCCTGCATATCAAGCTGATGTACTGGTTTATTTTTGCTTGCCTACTCCACATTATTTCTCATTGAGTTTATGCTCTTTATGTCATAAAGGTTTTATCCGGCTCCTACCCATTGGACTGTCTTGACTAGGTTGGACTTGCCAGGAGATAAACTACCACCAAGATAGCTCTCCAGGTCATAAGAGCACACAAGCCTCTTTCAAATGTGATGTCATGATGCAAATTATTTTGTGGTATATGAGATTATTATCAAACATATGAGGTGATTATCAAAGAGTTTTTTTTTCTTAATTACACAGCTCTCTCTCTCAAACACTGTTTCATACCAGTGATAAGGTGTTTGGCTAAGGTATCTGGTGAGTGAACAGCAAGCAAGGAGAATTAAATTCATGAAGGGAAACAAAATGTCCTCAGACTGAATTTGTTGATTTTGTTTTCTCTATCAAAAAACCAATTGCTGTTTGACTCTTCCACTTTTCTTCTAAATTTATCCTCAACAACCATTCACTTATTTACACATTCCTCTTGTTCATAAATTTTAATAATCAATATTTCAAGAGCATTCACTAAGGATTGGAAAAGTTGACAGCATTAAGTGGATCATCTCTGAATTTTCTAAAAGAACAATTTGTTTTGATCCCATTATTTTCCTCTTGCCATACAGATTTTGTTGTGGAATGTTGATCCTACTTGGAAAGTATAATTTATTTTTGTCTATTCAAATATGTCTCACATAAAAATGTCAGTTACAAGTTTGCAGACAAAACAGATGTCCTTAAAATGTTGTTGACTGAATGTTGAAAATAGATAAAAGAAAGTTGCACATTTTCCAATCCGAATTAACAAAGAAATAAGCAGATCACTTTTTTTAATCAATTCACCCCAAGCAAGGTGGGAATGACACTGATATGCATGGGGTTATGGAGAGTAAAAGTGAGAGAAGAGATTAGGTATAGGGGGTATTGAGGAAAGGATAAAAGATGAATGGAGTTCAAGATGACAGAAGATGGCGATTGACATTACATTTAAATTTTTGAAGATTGTAGTTTTCAGGGAAGCAAATAAACAGAAGGGAGTTCAACTGTCAAGAAGTGCCAGAAAAGAAACCGTTGAAATAGAAGTAGGTAAAAAAAAAAAAAATAATGTAAAAGGGTGGGACCGAGAAGTTAGTCTCATAACATGTTTAAATTTCTATATTAGAGGCACCAGGGGAAAAAATTTGGGAGCACATTTCTTTAGACTGACAGTTGAATCCTGTCATCTCTGCTTATGGGAGTCTAATTTTGAAATGATGTCTGAGACCAGTAATGAGGTTATGTGCATATCACTCAGTAGAGTCTCAGTTCTAAGAGGAAAATCAGGCATGGGTACTCGAAATGAGTCAAGTATTCACCCGGGGTGAGACCTCAAATGAGTATTCTTGAACAGGATGATTGAAAAGTTCATTCTAGGGGATGTGATGAAGGAAATGATGGAATGAGTCTCAATTTGCACATTGATAACAGAAAGATATTCTGTTGGTAGGATGTTCTTGGCTGGTGGGGTAGCGGAAGGAGATGATTACAGATGAACTCTTGTGTAGCATCACATGATCTGAGTTACCAAGAGGGCAGAGCTGCATAATATGACAAGAATCAGGCACAGCATTAAAAAAGAGATTGAGAAGAGAAGCATGTCCATCAGGGTTACTGGGGAAATGTGTGGAGAAGTCAACCACCTGCATGAAGGATTGAGTGATTGAGAAGTTAAGGGTTTGGATGTCAGTGAGGTCAGTGACAGTGTGTTTAAACCACCTAGTATGGTGGGCATTAAAGTCCCCAAACACAAATATATTTGCAAATGGGTGTAGGGAGATAGGCTTGTCTATATTGTCAGAAATACTATCTAGCATGCAACAGTCTTGAGAGGAAGGGAATCATTAGAAAAAGAGATAACTGACTGAGTTAAGTAGAGAGAGACAGAGACACATGTAAGAATATTCTGGAGATTCAAGAGCTAGTTTCCTAGTCAGTAGGAGATGTTCATGGACATAAGATTCCAGGCTATGCATGTGGACATTAGAGTCCTTTCTAAGGAGAGGAATATAGCCAGGAATTGAGAAATCAGAAGACTGGATTGAAGAATTAAGATTTGTTTCACAGAGAGCTAGGATGTCCAGAGACTTTTTGAAAAGAAATGATTCCACACTGCAGAAATTGGTATGAATACCACGAATGTTGGAGAAAGAAAGATGGGGGGTTTGGAGTTTTTTTAGCTGGTTTAGATTTATATCTTTGGTTGTTTATAGTTGTGATGTGTTATTTTAGTAAGGAATGGCCTAGACTTAGTAGTAGCAATCAGTCATCTTATAGAACTGGTGCAGACTGCAACATAGTGTGTCCTCGGGGTTGCCCACCAGAGGTGCTTATAGGGACACCCTTCCATGCATGACATGGCACTGCAAGAACCCTTAAGTTGATCAAAGCAGCCTCTCAAGATGCTACACATGATTTTAGGCTCCTAACCACCAGTCAGGAACAGCAAGCAAAGAACAGCCAATCCAGTAGCCTCAGTATGAAGAGAAATAGTCACCATCCATGTATATCACAAAAAAAATTAATGACAACACCGATATTAAGGCCAGAGAAAAGGAAAGGAAACAGGAACCATTTTCTAAGCAGGAAACAAGGTATGAGCCTCTACTCCTGTGCAAGAGAAGGGAAAGGAGTATAGACCAGACCATAGGAGAGCTTATCTACTTCTGTTAAAAAAAAAGCAAATGGAAAGCAATCCCAGGTTTGACTTTTAGATAAATTATCTCAAAGAATGAACTTTCAGGTAACTTATTTGGAGAGTTGAGCTACAACCTTCAGATGCCCCAGCACAAACATGTATACATACCTGTGCACCGAGGAATAAAAAAATAAAATAATTAAGTTTTAACTTAGTAGAAGTCCGAATACCAACTCTTTCAAAGTGTGTTCGCATAATCTCAAGTCAGTTACCACCAAAAAGAAAAATCTTTATTAAATGCTGTGACACCAGTCAGATAACATTATGCTAACATGTATGTGTGTATATATATATATATATATAAAATATAAATGATTGTTCAAGCAAAGGTAGGAAGACATTGCAGAGAACCAAGAGAAAAAATAGGATACTTTTCATAGTTCTTTAGATTAGCTTTCACAAATCTCATCAAATGATTTTTTTATACTGCTTTCATGTTGAGACCTGCCTATTGTTAAAGAGATGTAGTGAGTGATATTAGTTGCTAGGATGTATACGTGAGAGAGAGATAGTATTTGTGATAGCATTATGGCCATGGGATGTTTGCTCAAACAGTACACAGAAATTAAATTATAGTATTTTACATATAATAACAAAGTTTTATTGCTTTAGGAAACTAAATAGAAGGAAAAATCGACAGAGGTGCAGGGAAATGTATACAGCGAAATGTCCTTGTTTATGGTTTATATAAAGCTCTGTTAAAGGTGTTGAGGTTTATATTTGAAAAGAGTTCTTTGTTGGTTTGGTAGACTTTTTTGCTTTAAGGCACTTGTATGCTGTGTTGTGTTCAGTGTAATATATGGTTTACTGGTGATTATGATGGTCCCTGGAAGAGAAATAAAACATGTCCTATCCCTGAGGCATCTTGTGGGTAGAGAGAGAAGAGAATTTGTACCATTTTCTTCTATAGTGTTTTTTTGACAACACTATCTTGAAGTTCTTTTGCAGACAAGTGAGGTAATCTCATGTTCAGTATATTCATCAATATAACTTGTTCAAAGATGGTTATGGTGGTGAAACCAAAAAGACTGAATTATTTTTTTAATGACTTATCAACCTTTTATGGTTAACTTAGAACTGGAACATATTTTGGGGTGGAATGTTTTGGATAAAATAATGATTGTCTGACACACATCCTACTATTTAACCCATGGCTGGTTGGAGAAGAGATGGATTTATACCTTTCCCAAGGTTGTTTGCTTGCAAGTGAATATAACGAATTCAACAATAATTGAAACTAAGCTCTCCAATTTCTCATTCCAAGCTGTTATCTATTACACCACTGGCACATCCAAGGTTACAGCACCTGCTATTCCCAAGCAGTCACCCATCTAGGTACTGACCAAACACAATGTTGCTTAACTTTGGTGATCGGATAAGAACCGGTATTTCATCATGATATGACTGTAAGCCAATCAAAACATACATTGGTAATACACATGCTTAACTGAAGGCAAAGCATATAAACGTATACAAAATTTTAAGTACATTTCAGTATTGTGTGTATTTGTCTATGAAACATTTATAAAATGGGCAGCAAAAATCCAGTGATCCTTTCCCATTCAAGTCTTTCTCCTCAGCTTTTTCATGTGTTTCAAAGTTGTATGTTTCAGTTGTAATGAAAGCTTGTACATTATTTGAACAAGACTACCTCATCTTTTGTTTGATTTCTCAGTTTCCATTCTACATTTGAATATAGCTACTACAATAACAGAATTTCTAACTCCTATGACTGAAGGTCACTGTTTTTATAAAATAAAGCATTTTATTATACTGACTCTTTTCAAAGCCAGTGTTATTGGTGACATATATCCTCTCAAGCAGTGCTTTTTAAATTGGTAAATGTTTTATCCAAGGGAGAATAAAATCATTTGGGAATTGGATGAGAGTAGACACGTAAATAAAGAGTAAATAAAGCCAAAATTTTATGACTTAATTTATTTGAATATTATTCTATTTCCTATACTTAAAAGAAACAAACTCATCACGATTAAACTGGTTAATAATATCTTATGGCTTTTTAAGTGCAGTGGTCCTTGGAAATTTGATTTTCTCTCTCTCACTATAGTTGATTTTCAAATTCCTAAGTAAATTTTGTATATTTACTGTTACAAAATGTTTCAGCAGAGAAAAACATAATCTCATGCTGTCAGATGTATGCAATTTATATATATATATATATATTCATTCATACACATTTCGTTAAATAATATAGACAAGTGTTGTCTATTTATTTTATGTAAAAAAACAACATGCCTGCCCGCACACACAATTCTGTAAAATACTTGTCAACACAATTATACTTCGACATGAAAACAATAGACAAAAACTAAAAATCCTTGAAGCATTATACATCAAACAGTTGAAACCCAACCTAAACAAAATCAATTATGGCATCTCTACAAATATTCTTAAATGTCTATAATTGGTAACAGAAGCCATTGTTTTATACCAACGGCTTCCCATACTTCATACTTCTCCAATTCACTCTCACATGGTCACGTGTGATGTCATGAGATGCGATTTTCGCTTCTAGCATCTTATATGCACGTGTTTATCGTTGCTTAGAAATCACAGACTATCATCACTGTCTTGTTCGTGTATTGCTTAATATGTTGTAATTAACATCTTTGATAATGGCTTATATAAGCCGAAAGCTTAGATTGTATTAAAAAATATGGATCAATATTGTGAATTTCTTTCTTTGTTCAATGATAATGTTATTAAACTTATCAGACATTATGAAAAGAATTTACATAAAATAAATAGACAACACTTGTCTATATTATTTAATGAAACATGTATGAATGAAAAGATGCTGCCTAAATATACACAATATATATATATATATATATATGCACACACACACACACACACATATAAGTCAACGATCTCTTGCTTTTAGATGTATGCATAGAAGAAAATCATAATCTCAAGTAAATTTTGTGACAAAGCCTCAAGTGTGAAAGAAATAGTTTAAGAAGCACTGATCTAAAAGTTATGCTACAGTCTGTCCTTGATGCATAAGAAATGATATTTGAAAAATTTATTGTGTATGACCTGTTATAGTCTCTTAAGTGATTGTATGTATACAAGATCTTGTGCAGATAAGGAACTGCTTTCATTACTTTTTTGTCTTAATTTCATTTTTTCTTAGTCATTCATTCATGTCATCTCTCTTTTCAGAATTTTCTTCTTTTTTTTGCTGTTTTTTTGTTCAGTAATTCTATCTTCAGAGTCTTCATTCTTATTGTGACAGTGTAGGTTATATCAATAAATACAAATTCTTTGTGGCTGCACCTCAAGAATGGCTTCATTGTCACTGTTGGATTTATTAGGCTTCTCTGTCAGAATGTTTTCAAAATGACAATGAGCAAAGCTGTTCTAGATTTCCTTGTGAGTTTTCATTTTTTCACTTTGAAAATGAGCAACCATGATTTTGCTCTACTCAGTGTTGAATGTCAATGAAGGTGAAATTCAACCTTTTTTGTTTTGTTCTTGATCTTTTGGACAAAAGCCTTGCCAGGTGTGCTTCAGTTAGTATTAAAGCTTATTTCAGGAAGATGATATGTAGCAATGCTTGATATAATTCTTTTCTGTAAAAGCTTTGCAAGGATAAACCCCAAAACTGAAAGCAGAGTGATGCTTCAGTAATTAATAAGATCTGACTAAAGACTGATAATCGCTGCTTTTTTGAAGTCCTAAGCTATTTTTCCATGTCTCCAAGCATATCAAAAATTCATAAAGTTTTATATGCAAAATATTGTTTAATGTCTGCCATCAACACCAGCAATTTTATAAGAGTGGTTCCTTTTCCAATTATATATATTCAAATGTTATATAGATACTTGTATTTGAAATAGACACCCTATTTTTAAGTATCTATATAACATTTGAATATAAATCTATAAATCCTGCACATTTGAGAAATCTTAAAGAAAAGATTGTTCTTTGGTAGAGATTACATCTGCTTGATTCTATTTATTAATTACAATATAATTAAGTTTCAGATCTGAGTATTCACTATAATATTTTAAGTAATAAAAATTTTTGCTTAAAAACAAATCCATTAATTTTAATATATATATATATATATATATATATATATATATATGTGTGTGTGTGTGTTTAGAGAAGCGTATGGTTGCAAAAAAGAAATACGACAACAGCAGAAATGGATTTACGTGATTTATTTGAACAGGAACATGTGGGTTTGGGAAAGCTTCCTTGTGGTATAGTTCATAGGCCAGCTGAAGATCTGGGTTGATCTCTCATAGTAGTTCTCGCTGGTTGGCGTGGTGCAACTGCTGCTGACTGCGACAGGTCTCTTCCCTGGCCTCCTGTTGACTGCCGTTGTACTTCCGTGTAACCCCTTTTATGGCGTTTTTTATGGCTTAACAGGTTCAAAAAACGACGCAAGTATAATTAGGAGGGAAGCATTTTTATTAGTCGAAAAATAGAAATACTTTAAAATATTATTTTATTTTTCAACCGGAACTCACATGTCAGGAACATGCGTAAATGAAGATAATGATCATTTTATGACGGGGACTTGTCCTGTTCACATCCGGCTCTCACTCTTGGGTATGTTAGTTTATTTGCCTGTAAATCAGCCGAGATATGTCTTAATTTATTTTATAACATATATATATGTTGAGATGTTGTTTCCCCGTGCGTGTATTGAAAATAAGGACAAACACATACGTAGGGAAAAATACTGGTATATCTGGAGAGGTATTTACAACAGAGAGATTAGTAGTCAAATGAACGCAGGTTAGTCAGTAACAATCAGAAAGAGTATAAAGTCCAACTGTATCTTCCAGTAGAGAGACGGAAGTGTGATGGTCACCTGATCTTCCCAGAACTCTATAGAACTGTCCTATTAGTAGTAGAGAGATCAGTCCATTCTGATGAGGAGGTGGGTGGCCCCAACAATATATATATGTAGTTTGAAATTTTAAGGGTAACAAATTTTATATATTCCCAGATGACCACCGCTGTGATTACACATAACACTGCTTTAGTTTCTTTGTTTTGAAGTTAGTTGACTGTGAAGGTTTTTTTGTTTGTGGGCACATTCCCTTTCTGGTTCACAGTTTTAAGTGGAATCTGAGCTTGCAGAAGACAAACTGATGGTCTGTGACACCCTATACTATGCATTAGTCATCACCTTTATGCTCCTCTGATATAATAGAATGAAATTTATGAGTCCATGCTTTGAACAGAAATTAGATGTTGGTGATGCGTAAATCTTGTTCTGCACCAAAGAATAGAAGGAGATATCCATTGTTATTGCATTTCCCTACACCATTCTACACATGAACACCTTTCCAGGTATCAAAGTTCCAGCCTACTCTGGTATTAAACTAATCTATGATGTTGACAATATCAGTTCCTGGAATATTTGATAGAATTTTTTATAGTTATATGAAGAACTTAAAATTTCTTGTCTAGGACAATCTATAAGCTTGGTGTATACACACACAAGGGCATAACATGCAGTTGTTGAGTGGAAGATGCATGGAGATGATACAGTAAGCAGTACAGTTTCAGCTAATGGAAATTCTCATAATGAAGCTTTTACCGGAGTGGCATGTTCTGCATTCTTTTCCAATTGCCTTGATCTTTTTTTTTAATCAGTTCACCCCAAGCGAGATGATAAATGTCACAGACATAAGGGGTTATTGAGAGGGAAAAAGATTGAGAAAACTTTACTGAGCAATCTGAACAAAACCAACTTTCACTCTCTCATGAGTACTACCCACATTCCATTTCAGCCACTGCTACCCTATTCTCAAGATGCACTGGAGTGACTTCATCTTCAAGTCACAAACAGTGCAAAAAAAACAAAAAAAAAAAAAAAACACAGCTGCACTGAACAAGCTACATATTGAAAATAGAAAGTTATTGACTTACAGAGACCCCTACTCTTTGGAGAACTGGCTTCCAGATAATACAACTTTGCTCTAGAAAAGAGATTTTTTTTTCCAGTAAGGTTCACCCGGGGGGGTGGGGCCACCTGTGGATATGGGTATGTTAAGGGGTATTTTATATGGAGAGGAGAACAGTTGACTGTAGACTTGAATTGAGGAATCATCCTCTTAGGGAATTTGTTCCATCGGGCAGTGGTTCATGGGAAGAAGTTGTTTGTGTAGAACTTACTTTTCACTGATGGAATACAGAGGGAATGTAGGTTGTTTGCTACGATGTAAGTAGCATGGCTTGTCCAAGCCATGAATGTTAGACCTGACGGAACTAAGAAATGTAGTTCATTCGAGCACTTTCCTTGGTAGTGGCGATAGAGCAGTGAGTCTCGTCACATCCCGCCTGTGTGAGAGAGAGAGAGGTTCAAGGGTGTAAAATAATTCTTCTCCAACAAGGACTCAGAGACACATTTAAACTCTATTAA